TAAGCTACGTATTGCTGTGTGGTTGGGTGGGTGTGTGTCTGTGGCTGGTGGGTGTGTGTGTGTGTGTGGTTGGGTGGGTGTGTGTCTGTAGCTGAGTGGGTGTGTGTGTGTGGTTGGGTGGGTGTGTGTCTGTGGCTGAGTGGGTGTGTGTGTGTGTGTTGGGTGTGTGTGGTTGGGTGGGTGGGTGTCTGTAGCTGGTGGGTGTGTGTGTGTGGTTGGGTGGGTGTGTGGTTGTGGCTGGTGGGTGTGTGTGTGTGTGGTTGGGTGTGTGTGGTTGGGTGGGTGGGTGTCTGTAGCTGAGTGGGTGTGTGTGTGTGGTTGGGTGGGTGTGTGTCTGTAGCTGAGTGGGTGTGTGTGTGTGTGTGGTTGGGTGGGTGTGGTGTCTGTAGCTGAGTGGGTGTGTGTGTGTGGTTGGGTGGTGTGTGTGTGTGGCTGAGTGGGTGTGTGTGTGTGTGGTTGGGTGGTGTGTGTCTGTAGCTGAGTGGGTGTGTGTGTGTGTGTGGTGGGTGGTGGTGTCTGTAGCTGAGTGGGTGTGTGTGTGTGTGGTTGGGTGTGTGTGTGTGTCTGTAGCTGAGTGGGTGTGTGTGTGTGGGTGGGTGGGTGTGTGTAGCTGGTGGGTGTGTGTGTGTGTGTGGTTGGGTGGTGTGTGTGTCTGTGGCTGGTGGGTGTGTGTGTGTGTGGTTGGGTGGGTGTGTCTGTGGCTGGGTGGGTGTGTGTGGTTGGGTGTGGGTGTGTGTGTGTGTGTGGTTGGGTGGGTGTGTGTGTGTGTGGTTGGGTGGGTGTGTGTCTGTGGCTGGAGTGGGTGTGTGTGTGTGGTTGGGTGTGTGTGGTTGGGTGTGTGGGGTGTCTGTAGCTGAGTGGGTGTGTGTGTGGTTGGGTGTGTGTGTGGGTGGTGTGTGTGTGTCTGTGGCTGAGTGGGTGTGTGTGCTGTGGCTGGTGGGTGTGTGTGTGTGGTTGGGTGGGTGGGTGTCTGTAGCTGAGTGGTGTGTGTGTGTGTGGTTGGGTGGGTGTGTGTCTGTAGCTGAGTGGGTGTGTGTGTGTGTGGTTGGGGGTGGGTGTCTGTGGCTGAGTGTGTGTGTGTGTGTGGTTGGGTGTGTGTGGTTGGGTGTGTGTGTGTCTGTGGCTGAGTGGGTGTGTGTGTGGTTGGGTGTGTGTGGTTGGGTGTGTGTGTGTCTGTAGCTGAGTGGGTGTGTGTGTGTAGCTGAGTGGGTGTGTGTGTGTGGTTGGGTGGGTGTGTGTCTGTGGCTGGAGTGTGTGTGTGTGTGTGTGGTTGGGTGTGTGTGGTTGGGTGTGTGTGTGTCTGTAGCTGAGTGGGTGTGTGTGTGTGGTTGGGTGGGTGGGGTGTCTGTAGCTGAGTGGGGTGTGTGTGTGTGGTTGGGTGTGTGTGGTTGGGGTGGGTGGTGTCTGTGAGCTGAGTGGGTGTGTGTGTGTGTGTGGGTTGGGTGTGGGTGTGTGTCTGTAGCTGGTGTGTGTGTGTGTGTGGTTGGGTGTGTGTGGTTGGGTGGGTGTGTGTCTGTAGCTGAGTGGGTGTGTGTGTGTGTGTGGTTGGGTGGGTGTCTGTAGCTGAGTGGGTGTGTGTGTGTGTGTGGGTTGGGGTGTGTGTGTGTGGTTGGGGTGTGTGTGGTTGGGTGTGTGTGGTTGGGTGGGTGTGTGTCTGTAGCTGAGTGGGTGTGTGTGTGTGTGTGGTTGGGTGGTGTGTGTGTCTGTGGCTGAGTGTGTGTGTGTGTGTGGTTGGGTGGGTGTGTGTGTGTGTGGCTGGGGTGTGTGTGGTTGGGGTGTGTGTGTCTGTGGCTGGGTGGGTGTGTGTGTGTGGTTGGGTGGTGGGTGTCTGTGGCTGGGTGGGTGTGTGTGTGTGTGGTTGGGTGTGTGTGGCTGGGTGGGTGGGGTGTCTGTAGCTGGTGGGGTGTGTGTGTGTGTGTGGTTGGGTGGGTGTGTGTCTGTAGCTGGTGGGTGTGTGTGTGTGGTTGGGTGTGTGGTTGGGTGGGTGGGTGTCTGTGGCTGGTGGGTGTGTGTGTGTGTGGTTGGGTGGGTGTGTGTCTGTAGCTGAGTGGGTGTGTGTGTGTGTGTGGTTGGGTGTGTGTGGTTGGGTGGGTGGGGTGTGTGGCTGAGTGGGTGTGTGTGTGTGTGTGGTTGGGGGGTGTGTGTCTGTGGCTGGGTGGGTGTGTGTGTGTGTGTGGTTGGGTGTGTGTGGGTTGGGTGTGTGGTGTCTGTGGCTGAGTGGGTGTGTGTGTGTGGTTGGGGTGGGTGGGGTGTCTGTGGCTGGTGGGTGTGTGTGTGTGTGTGGTTGGGTGGGTGTGTGTGTCTGTAGCTGAGTGGGTGTGTGTGTGGTGGGGTGGGTGTCTGTAGCTGAGTGGGTGTGTGTGTGTGTGGTTGGGTGTGTGTGGTTGGGTGGGTGTGGGTGTCTGTAGCTGGAGTGGGTGTGTGTGTGTGTGGTTGGGTGGTGTGTGTCAGCTGAGTGGGTGTGTGTGTGTGGTGTGGTGTGGGTGTGTGTGTGGTTGGGGTGTGTGTGGTTGGGTGTGTGTGGTTGGGTGGGTGTGTGTCTGTAGCTGAGTGGGTGTGTGTGTGTGTGGTTGGGTGGGTGGTGTCTGTGGCTGGTGGGTGTGTGTGTGTGTGTGGTTGGGGTGTGTGTGGTTGGGTGGGTGTGGTTGGGTGTGTGGGTGTGTGTCTGTAGCTGAGTGGGTGTGTGTGTGGTTGGGTGGGTGTGTGTGTCTGTAGCTGGAGTGGGTGTGTGTGTGTGGTTGGGTGTGTGTGTGTCTGTGGCTGAGTGGGTGTGTGTGTGTGGTTGGGTGGGTGTGTGTCTGTAGCTGAGTGGGTGTGTGTGTGGTTGGGGTGGGTGTGTGTCTGTAGCTGAGTGGGTGTGTGTGTGTGTGGTTGGGTGGGTGTGTGTCTGTGGCTGGAGTGGGTGTGTGTGTGTGTGTGGTTGTGTGTGTGTGTCTGTAGCTGAGTGGGTGTGTGTGTGGGTGTGTCTGTAGCTGAGTGGGTGTGTGTGGCTGAGTGGGGTGTGTGTGTGGTTGGGTGTGTGTGTGTCTGTGTTGAGTGGGTGTGTGTGTGGTTGGGTGTGGGTGTGTGGTTGGGTGGGTGTGTGTCTGTAGCCGACTGGGTTAGGTTAGGTTTGACTAGTTTTAGGTTAAGTTAGGATAGGTTAGATCAAGACTAGAGTGAAGCAGCAGTAGTATCAACCATAACTCACTTGTATGGGCAGTAGCTGGGCTGTCCCTGAGGCCGGCACCTTCATCAGAGTGCCGGGTTTAGGCACCATGGTTGCCGGCTGGCCTATTCTATTGCCTGAGGAAGAAGGTTAATCGTTAGTTTATTTTAATGTTTAACCCCCAATAACCACCGGTGTAGTAGGTTTAACGTTTAATTGGTAGTTATTGAGTCCCTACGTCCTGCACCCGAATATCCACGAAAATGGAAAGCAAGGGACATGAAACGTCCATTGATGATGGCCACCGTTCCAACGCCTGACCTCCATTGACGATGACCACCAATTAAAGGTCAACTATGATTCATGTATAAAAATCATCTCCCATTCATCAACTCATCATAAAGCATCCACCCCCCCACCCTCCAACTTCGCTTTTCAATTGGTTTTTCATACGAGTTTATGCGACCAAGTAAATTCCATCCCACAAAGGTTTTTTTTTTTAAGTGCTGTAACGACCCCAGCCAACGACGTAGTTGAGACGGAGACTACGAACGAAACTAATAATTAATTTCCCCTTTATCGATCACCAAGAAAAAACGCCGAGAAAAACGACGGCAATGATTATCAAATATCAACGTCAAAGGAACTCTAATCCTATTTAAAACATGGATTATCACACAAGAATAATAACCAATAACACTAGTTCAGAAAGCATTAATGATACATAACCATTAAAAGAAATCACTCAAAATAATACTCTTGGTTGGGGCAATAGTAACACCCAGACAATAAGCTCTTCAAAGGGGTGTGACAGACTGACAACAAACACATTCTGATCCCACTGCTGTCAACCCAAATCTACAGTGTGTTAGTGTGTTTAAACTCTCATATAATTATCATGCTTTTCCCTCACTAACTATACAAAGTTGGTTACACTTCTAAACCAATATCTATCACTTGAGAACAAACCATTGACTATCATGCACTCAGATAAGCAAATTTTGTTTTTTTACAGCTTGTTGATCTGTCGTGTAATAAGTACTGTATGGTGCAATCACTGTGTTAAAGCACTCTGCTGGTCTTATGTGATAACTTATGTCTGTATTAATGTACTGTACTGGTCTTATGTGATAACTTATGTCTGTATTAATGTACTGTACTGGTCTTATGTGATAACTTATGTCTGTATTAATGTACTGTACTGGTCTTATGTGATATATGTCTCTATTAATGTACTGTATACTGGTCTTATGTGATAACTTATAATGCTCTATTAATGTACTGTACTGGTCCTATGTGATAACTTATGTCTTAACATTAATGTACTGTACTGGTCTTATGTGATAACTTATATGTATTAATGTACTGTACTGGTCTTATGTGATGCTTATGTCTGTATTAATGTACTGTACTGGTCTTATGTGATAACTTATGTCTGTATTAATGTACTGTACTGGTCTTATGTGATAACTTATGTCTGTATTAATGTACTGTACTGGTCTTATGTGATAACTTATGTCTGTATTAATGTACTGTACTGGTCTTATGTGATAACTTATGTCTGTATTAATGTACTGTACTGGTCTTATGTGATAACTTATGTCTGTATTAATGTACTGTACTGGTCTTATGTGATAACTTATGTCTGTATTAATGTACTGTACTGGTCTTATGTGATGATGACAACTGCTAAACAAAACACACACTCCCATCACCTTCATCCTCGTCGGTGAGATCAATGACGCCGCTTCCTCTGCTGGTCAGTGGAGTCTGCAGTGCTGCCGTGGTGCCTGTGATTGCCTTGTCGTTTTGTAATAACATTGATCTCTGGGTGCCTAACAAGGTCCCGGTCGCTGATACTACAGAGGTCAATCCACCAATCGGAGCTCGGACAACTCTCCCCTGAGCAACAGGAAGGACGGCCGTTGCGGTGCTCACCACACCTGTGAAGTAAGTGAAGGCTTCAGTCCACACATTGTCAGGCAGGGCAGCAGTGTTGTGTAGCTGTTTACCCCAATAAAAACACTACACAGTATTCCTTAAGGCTCTAACATATAGGTATTGGATGGTATCTTTGAGGCTATTGGACGGTACTTTCAAGGCCATTGGACGGTACTTTTAAGGCTATTGGACGGTACTTTTAAGGCTATTGGATGGTACTTTTAAAGGTATTGGATGGTAATTTTAAGGCTATTGGACGGTACTTTTAAAGGTATTGGATGGTACTTTTGAGGCTGTTGGACGGTACTTTTAAGGCTATTGGACGGTACTTTTAAGGCTATTGGACGGTACTTTTAAAGGTATTGGACGGTACTTTTGAGGCTGCTGGACGGTATTTTTGACACTGGATGACTCATCTTTCTGAAAATATTACCACCTGTATGACTGAACTTAACTGGCATCCTTGACGATCACTCTTCGATGTTTTTATCACAATTCTACTCCTGATATATTTAGTCCACGATTGAGATTGTTATTGTCCGCACTATACGACTTCCGTTTATTGATTTCTCGAACGTGAAAATTAAGAGAGTATTTGTTTACATGCTGACGTCACTCAACATGTACCGAGGGATAGCCATTAAGCTTACACCGAGAGATAGCCATTAAGCTTACACCGAGAGATAGCCATTAAGCTTACATCACCCAACATGTAGGGTTGCGTTTAATAGTCGCGTCCGCCAGAGCAGTGTAACAGTCTCACAGATGGCGGAGCAATCGACCATTCTTCACCACCCACAGATGGCTCTACAGTATACAAACTACTTCAGAGTCATGACATATACAGAAGCTCTCTCTTATACGTGTGTGAGGAATGTGTGTGTCCGATGCAGTGTAGTCGTGAGTACTATACGTTACACATCTGCCCGTCGTAATATTTGTAAGTAGGTAACTATTTCTATAACTTTCCTTACAGTGTAGTCAGTTCTCTGGTATAAGGAGCTAGTGCTTTAGATCTCTCTTAGTTAATGATCCTTTATGTGGGATTATGTGAGCAGTAGCGGCCATTAAAGTACGGTTTAAAGAAGTTCACTAAAGGTTTACCGATTTTCATACTTTCCAAATTACTTTTATAAATTACATCTGATATTTCTTTATGGTATTCAGAAAAATAAATGATGTCATAGTTTTATTTATCCATTCACTAGTCGGTCCAGCCTCCCGGTACGTCGATTATATCACCGAGTCTCCGAGGAAACGAGTTCACAAGGTTCGTGCGTGTTTGGGGCGTCGACGGATTTTCTCCTGTGCCTCCTGAACCTTATTTCCTGTGGCCTGGAGACTACTGTACATCTTCTCCCACATATTAACCATACTCTCTCCACTGGGTTCATAATCACATGCTTTACTTGGCTAGTCTAACACCATCAAACCCTGGGTGTTCCTTAAGCCATTCCTCAACTTCATTGCTAGTGGTAACTATTGTCATATACCAATTTAATAGCGGTAGGCGATGGAATGGCTATTGACCTCACCGACGGCAGTAGCACGTCCTCGAGAATTGGAATGTATACTAGACAGGTGAGGCGTCCGTCAGTCTTTGAGGGTTCTACCGGCCTGCGAGCACTACGTCCTACCCTCGTTCCTCTCTGTGTGTGTGTGTGTGTGTGTGTGTGTGTGTGTGTGTGTGTGGAGTAGGTGTATATATAAAGACCTGTGTGCCTACCGAATGACCAGAGTAGGACAAATATCAAAACCAAAATGTTTCCCGACCGCATTTTTTCTTAGGTACTGTAGTGTATATAAGTAACAGCCATGGATACTGTCAGAGAAATACCTTTAACGTGATCCGTACTTGCCGACAGACCACATGGGGAGGGAACCAAGCCGTGATACAAACTAATAACCTCTTTAAGTACTAATAATTCTATGTCAAAAATACCATAATCATGCACTAATTCCATACATCATGCACAGAGTAATCTATAACATAAATACAGATTACATTAGCAAGTAGAGATATATATATATATATTTATGGCTTAACTTAAAAGAAACATCTGTAACCCAAATCATATCTAGCAACAATTAAAGCAGGGTTAAATAGAGAAACTTCCAAAGAGAATAAGAAAGTAGACAAATTTATGAGACAATAAGATAACTTTAAAATAATCTCGTATGCCTCAGCTGCTTACCTCAAGAACAGACGAGTGAAATTATAGGAAATTACCAATGAAACAATATTACATTTCACCTTCACAAGTTCAAAATAATGTACATTTATTTCTAACACGTTCAACCACAGCTATAGTGAAACCTCCTTATAACGAATTTCCTACTCTGTATAGTTTGTTAAATGGAGGTTTCATATCTAACGAACCCTCAATATAATGGACTTTCATTACTGTATAGTCAGTTAATTGGGGGTTTCACTTTACGCAAGTTTTACCATCAAACTGGCTCTTACCTGTGTTGGCTCCTCGGGGTAACGCCTGCATGGCTCCCGAAGGCGTCATCATAAGCATCTGTCCTGTAGTCGGCCGAATGGTACCCAGGGTTTGGGTGGGGGCGGCGACGGTGGTAAGACCGGAGGCCCCCATAGCACTCATCGCCTGCGGTCGACCAACGCCAGCCTGTGAGGTAGCTAGAATCCCCAGAGCTCCGTGTGTCACCAGGCCCTGAGGGGTGTTGGACGACGGAATCATCTGCAAAAAAAAAAAAAAGACGATGTGATGATTAGAGACATCCCAGGGTGCCGTGAGTGTAAGAAAAACAGACGAATAGGGGTAGTGGTGTGACGTACCGCTAGTGTAACACAAACAATAGGACGGTAATGATAAACTGACATTGCATTGACGAAAGCATGCTGATGACACACTGACGTATTAACAAAAACAAAAGTATAGATATGGTAATAATAAACTAAGGTACTAACACAATAAATATAATACCATGACACTAATATCATTCACAATAAACAAAAGAACAAAGCTTAAGCAAATGAATTAGAACCTGTATGTAAACAAGCAAAATTAACATTCATAGATAAATTAAAAACAAAATAAACTAACAGAACGATAGAATAAAACCAAGAAGCCAAAATAATTGTAGTGTAAATGTGAACAGACTATAAAACGTTCACACAGGTAAAATAATGTAATTAATAAGTATTTGAATCTATAATTATGTGAACGTATTGTAATTCTAACTTTAATTTAGTGTTAGAAAAATTAGGACCACTTGAAGATTAAGCCACCCCTCTTACTCCCTGTCCAAGGTGAAATAAGCTGGGGTATTTAATCTTCTGGTGAAATAAGCTGGGGGATCTAATCTTCTGGTGAAATAAGCTGGGGGATCTAATCTTCTGGTGAAATAAGCTGGGGATCTAATCTTCTGGTGAAATAAGCTGGGGGATCTAATCTTCTGGTGAAATAAGCTGGGGATCTAATCTTCTGGTGAAATAAGCTGGGGTATTTAATCTTCTGGTGAAATAAGCTGGGGTATCTAATCTTAAAGGAAAACTGTAATTGTTTTCAGAATTAAGCCTGGCTGATGTTTTTCTTCAGTGATTGGCTTAAATTTGTATATTCAATAATGTAGAAGCCGCTCATATTGGCCAAGAGATACTTGGAGTATGGAAGCCTGTAGAGGTGTATGGAGGTGAGACTGATAGTGATTGTGGTGGTGTTAAGCATAGAGCAGAAGCCTCTCATCCACTTAGACTGATACAGACTGGTGGTGATTGTGGTGGTGTTAAGCATAGAGAGAAGCCTTCATCCACTTAGACTGATACATGTGATTGTGGTGGTGGTGTTAAGCATAGAGCAGAAGCCTTCATCCACTTAGACTGATACAGACTGGTGGTGATTGTGGTGGTGTTAAGCATAGAGCAGAAGCCTTCATCCACTTAGACTGATACAGACAGGTGGGTGATTGTGGTGGTGGTGTTAAGCATAGAGCAGAAGCCTTCATCCACTTAGACTGATACAGACTGGTGGTGATTGTGGTGGTGTTAAGCATAGAGCAGAAGCCTTCATCCACTTAGACTGGTACAGACTGGTGGTGATTGTGGTGGTGTTAAGCATAGGCAGCTTCATCCACTTAGACTGATACAGACAGGTGGGATTGTGGTGGTGGTGTTAAGCATAGAGCAGAAGCCTTCATCCACTTAGACTGATACAGACTGGTGGTGATTGTGGTGGTGTTAAGCATAGAGCAGAAGCCTTCATCCACTTAGACTGATACAGACAGGTGGTGATTGTGGTGGTGGTGTTAAGCATAGAGCAGAAGCCTTCATCCACTTAGACTGATACAGACTGGTGGTGATTGTGGTGGTGTTAAGCATAGAGCAGAAGCCTTCATCCACTTAGACTGAGCAGACTGGTGGTGATTGTGGTGGTGTAAGCATAGAGCAGAAGCCTTCATCCACTTAGACTGATACAGACAGGTGGTGATTGTGGTGGTGGTGTTAAGCATAGAGCAGAAGCTTCATCCACTTAGACTGATACAGGCTGACTGGTGATAATTATCTAGGGAAATATATGCCATTGAGGGGGGAAAAACAAAAGGAAAAACTTAAAAGCAGATGTATACTGAAAGCAACTTGCTGCTACTCTGGTGAGACGTTCGGTGTGTTGTGCGGGTGTTAAAACAATGCGTACAGTGACAAGCATAAGTGAACATTAATATAAAATAACAGAGAAAAGAAAAATAAATATGTATGGTGTGATGGTGGCCTAGGGGAAACTTCTCAGAGTTCCATTTATGATTATATTGTTTTTGTCTCAAGCTATACCAAACTCCGACACTTTTATATTTTCCACGTATAAAGGTTCTGTTTGTATAAATTTCTGTGGGTGTCTTGCCTGTTACAATGTTATTTTGACGGGAATGTTGATAAGTTTCTCTAATGGGGTACCGAGAGAACAGGATTACTCGCTTGGTATCACAGTTCCGACAGATTATAAGACACGTGAACTATACCCAAGTTATGTATTATAATTTTCTCAGTAATGTTGGGTCATCCGGGCAGGTACAGTTGCCTTCACTTCTACCTGGTACAAAGACCAGGTATGTTCTGCGAGATGTGGCAACTCTCTGGAATGTTTATCTACAATCCTCAGTCTGGCTACTATTGTGTGGTTCTGGACCATTCAGGAGTTTTATTATACAGTAAACAAACACAAAGTTGCCACATCTTACAAAACGTGCCAGTTGGTGTAACGAGCTATAAGCGCAGGCGTCTGTACAAGCACATGGATCATCAAGGCATGTATATCTGCTTAGGTCAAGGCATGTATACCTGCATGGGTCGTAAAGGCATGTATACTGCATGGGTCGTCAAGGCATGTATACCAACACCTCAAGCAGCAGCGATCATAAGAGAGTCTTCCAATAAGCAACCCTAGAGTGATTGACACATCATCATCATCATGAGCTAACCTTAGTATGAAACGTAACATTGGGTGGTGACCTCACTTGACCCCCAACAGAGCAGTATGATTTGACTGGATTAGACACACTGCTTACCCCAGCCAGCGTTGACGGCCTCGGAGCTATTGTTTTAATCATGCCGCCACTCCCATTGGCGTGCATGATGCCTTTGTTTATCTGTAAAATTAAAAGTAACAAATGTTATAATTTAAGAGGAACTTTTTTTTTAAGAGTTCCTACACTAATCTGGTGAACTCTTTTTAAGAGTTCCTACACTAATCTGGTGAACTTTTTTTTAAGAGTTCCTACACTAATCTGGTGAACTTTTTTTTAAGATTCCTACACTAATCTGGTGAACTTTTTTGTATGTCACTTTTCCACAAAATAATAATGATTTTTTTTATTTTTTCACAGTATAATAAGTTAAATATATATTTTTTGTACAATATAATGATTTTTTTTTCTGCTTTTCCACTATATGATGATGACTTTCCTACAATGTAAGGATGATTTTCCATTACCTAACAATGACTTTGATACTAAACAATGATTACTTCTCCCCATTCCCACAAAGACCAAATGGAGACTTCACTGTATACCCATATAACCTGAGGTAATATATAGTTTAGGTTATATTATGGAAGCCTTGCAGAGATACGCTTGACACGCGAATTATTCATTTTATTTTCACGTTTTCATGATTACAACGCGTATGGATATTGAGGTTTATGTGTATGTATTTAGATTTACATGTATACAGTGAGGTCTACATGTATACAGTGAGGTCTACATGTATACAGTGAGGTCTACATGTATACAGTGAGGTCTACATATATATAGCAAGGTCTATATAATGATACAGTGAGGTTTACATGTATACCGTGAAGTCTACATGTATGTATTCAGATCCACATGCATACATTAAGGTCTTACATGTATGTATTCAGATCCACATGTATACAGTCAGGTCTATATGATTGTATTCAGGTCTATATGTATACACCAAGTTACACCTGTATGTATATGTATACTTCCAAAACACACAAATGCCTACTGGACATAGAACTTAATACATACATAAATTAAAACAACTCATATAAAAAAAAGCAAAAGGTGTAGTTAGTAATTAGATATTAGTTAAGGTGAACAACAGGTAATTACAGGTGCAAATTAGGTTAGGTTTACCATTGTTTGTATAACTTCACTGTCTAGGTACACTGTATACCTGTTGCCAGTATACATGGTGAACTGTATACCTGCATTGCCTATATACATGTTGAACTGTATACCTGCATTGCCTATATACATGGTGAACTGTATACCTGCATTGCCTATATACATGTTGAACCACTTGTAAACCAGCAGGACAATTTAATTAAATGAAACTCAAAATGACACACACACACACACACACACACACACACACACACACACACACAAGCCACGACTTACGATATATGTCAGCCATCCCTCAACTCGACCTCTTGATTCTAATGGGTGCGACGTACTGTCCTTTCCTCGACGCTGCTCGTGGATAATCTGTTGGTCACCTTCTCAAGTCTTCGATCTATTGGGGCCGAGAACGGGAGCGCGTAGGTTATATTGCCGTTGGTGTACCTGGTTCTTTGTTGGGTTTATATTTCAAGTTTTGTATAGGTGGGGAGGGGATAGGTGTGTGAGAGGGGGGAAGGTGTGGGGAGGGGGAAAGGTGGAGAGTGAGGAGAGGTGGAGGAGGGGGTGTAGGGTGGGGAGAGGGGGAGACATTCCTATAAAGTGTTAAACTTGTTAAGGAGTATTGCCTATGGGTTAGGTTATGTTAGATCAGCTCAGTTTAGGTTAGGTTAGGTTATGTCAGGTCAGGTCAGGTCATGTTAGATCAGATCAGGTTAGGGTTATGTCAGGTCAGGTTGATCAGATCAGTTTAGGTTAGTAGGTCAGGTCAGGTTAGGTTAGTGTCAGGTCAGTTCAGGTCTCACCTTGTGAACTGGGCGGTCTTCACGTTACTCTCCAGGGTTGTCTCCAGCTTCTCACACAGTTGTTTCATCTTGCCCAGCTCACACTGGTACAACGTCTTCGCTGAACTGCCGCATGATCATGTTCTCCAGTTCCTGTTGGCACACACCAGCGTTAGTGTACAATGTAATTTACAGTAAGTTACACACCGGCGTTAGCATGAGCGCTAATTTACACACCGGTGTTGGCACTAGCGCAAATTATACAATCGGCGTTAATAGACAAGATGAGTGTTAAAGAATACTCACTGTATGCTGATTTATACAACAAGCGCTAATATATATACTGAGCGTAGTTCCTAATGTATACAGAGATCCATACATACACATACAACCTAACACACAAAAAGCACATACACACACATATAATAACAATAATAATAATAATTAACGGTTTATTGAAAGAGCTTGGCAGACAGAAGGCTGAAATATACAGTTACATATTTGGGGAATGGGTTACTAATTACAAATAATATACAAGTAACTTAAGTGATACAAATAAGATATATTAACTAGATGGGGAAAGCTCAAACTACAGTTCATTTCAACATAGTGACAGTGCAAGGAGTAGTGTTTACTGGGAGGAATACTATTGATTTATTACAAGTTATTGATAATTTTACAATGGTTGGGACTGGGTTGTTCTTATAGCGATCAGTTCGTAGCATCGTATGGGTGGATGCGGTTGTGGTGTCGAACAGCAATTCTCGGCTAGATCTCAGACGCCATGTTACACACCTACAGCAATTATAAGGAGCCAACATCTAATACCATACATAGAGATGATACAGCCGTTAGTACAATCAATAATAATCACTGAACAAGATGGTAAAGTCGGCCAAATAAGTTACAGCATAATGACCCAATGAATGTAAGGGTTGGGTAAAAGGTCTGGTAACTGTGTACAAAAACACAAAACCTTCGCTTCCAAAACACATGGATAGATGTATCTGTTACTCAAACTCGGCCTCCTCCTACCTTCCTATCCTCCCACCACTACCCTTCCTCCTCCTCTCCATCTACCTTACCTCCACCTACCTTACCCCTCCTCCTCCCACACCCTTTCTCCACTTACCTTTACATTATCACCACATCGGGCCCCACCAATACTTGAGAGGTCCCTGAATTTATTTGGCCGACTGTACCACTGAACCAAAAGGTACTGTACCACTGAACCAAAAGGTACTGTAATTGAACAATCTGAAAAAAGGTCTGAACAAAGGTACTACACTGAACCAAAATTTGACCCAAAGGTACTGTACCACTGAACAAAAGGTACTGTACCACTGAACTCAAAAGGTACTGTACCACTGAACCAAAAGGTACTGTACCACTGAACCAAAAGGTACTGTACCACTGAACAAAAGGTATCAATACCTGAACAAAAGGTATCGTACCACTGAACAAAAGGTACTGTACCACTGAACCAAAAGGTACTGTACCACTGAACCAAAAGGTATCTACACTGAACAAAAGGTACTGTACCACAACGATAAGAACAGCACCACAGCACTTGCCTTCCTCGTTTTTTGAAGACGTCTTTTTATGACTTTGTTTTCCTTATCCGCTACAGGTAACACTTTGTCTTTTTGGTGTTGAGAGTTGGACGTCCCTTTCCTTGGAGATTGGCGTCAGTACTTCCCGGAGCTTGGAGACCGACGGCAAGACCTCGATCTCCGTTGTTGATGTGGTGTTCACGAGAGACTTTGAAATTAAGGGGGTGGCGCTGACGCTGATTGTGGTGAGGGTAGTAGTTGCAGTGGTGGCTAGATTGTTGTTGTTGACGGTTGTGGCAGTAAGATCGTTAGTCGGCGGGTGGTGGTGGTATTGTATGGCACTAGGAGTAATGGTTATGCTACTACTGGCTTAATCCTGTACTACCACTGCCGCCCCACTCAGCGAGGCTGTTCAGGATTCCACTCCCCGTTGGCACGTTATTGAAACAGTTCCTAAGCTCGTTTAACATCTTCAAATCTTTGTTTTCTTTGCCCGCCTCCTCTAATTTCTTCGAGGCTTGATCTAAGTGTTGGTTAAATTCTTTTACGGCTACTACATCTCTCTGAAATGAAAAAAAAACTTATTTAATTGAGCATTTTTTGCCATAGTGATAGAGAGTAATTGATATTTTTTGCCAGTCATAATACAGTCACCCACAAAAATCCCTGCACTTCTCCTCGCGAACCACCGACCCCAAGACTCAACTCTCGTGAATCTAAAGCTATTTATGTGACCTGATCTAAGACAATAGTTGTACTTGTATCATAAAAATAACTAAAAAAAAAAACTTGCTGTACCAACCTTAACAGTATCATCAGCTGTGGGGGCAAACACTCTTATCTTCTTCAAGTCGGGTTTTTTCGAGGCTCCTTCCTCCTCACTGGTTCTCTTGACGCCAGTGGACGTAAGTTGTGGAGCGCCTGAGAAATCCACTTTGTCTTTCGTCTTGTCGGCGTCAGGAGGAGCCTTTACTGGCTTCACTGTCAAGACTCGCTTCATTCTCCTCCTTCACTATCAGGCCGTTGGTGAGAGGCGACGTGGCTCTCGGATGACCCTTGACAGCATGGACCGTGACCGAATGACAGGTCGATCGAACTCGGCAAAACCGGCGCATCGAGTCCGGAATTAGACCCGAGTTATGGTCGGGGTGCTCTACTGACGACACTGGTGACGCCCGACGGTGGGGTGGGAGTCCTGGAGTTGGTGGGAGACATGAATCTTTGAGTACTCCTGCAGGCACAGAGATCATGGGCGCCAGGTTCGGAGCCTTCATGGCTCTCGGGGCAAGTGAATGAGCAACAGTCCTCGCTACTCTCGGGGCCTGGCAGTCTGGAAAATAAAAACACGCTTAATAAAACTCCATAATGTTATGTTTTATACAGTACTTTATTCATATAATTACTATTGTTTTAATTAATCACCTGATAAACCACCCCAACTTATTTCACCTACAGTTATGTCAGTGTTAGGTTAGGTTTAGGTTAGGTTAGGTTACATTAGTGTTAGGTTAGGTTATGTTAGGTTACATTAGTGTTAGGTTAGGCTCAGGTAAGGTAAGGTTATGTCAGGTAAGGTTATGTCAGGTTAGGTTAGGTCAGGTAAACCTTAACAAGTGGTTAATTCAGTCACATTTCTCTTTAATGAGCCGAGAAACGAGATAGACAAGACATGCACAAACAGACATGGCTAGAGCAATATGTCCCTCTGAAAGACATTAAAACAAATTAAACATCCACTAACCTAACCTAAACCTAACACCACCTAATAACTACCAACTCCAGACTAGTTTTTGGGTTTTTTTGGTGTTTTTTTGTTTAATTGGTTTAACCTAACCAAAGGAACATAGCTATCTAACATTACCAAACCTAACCAGCCATTACCTCTTTCTATCTATACAATCTTTCTGACCCTTACCCATTTCAGGTCAGGTCAGGTCAGGTCAGGTCAACTTGTTCCACCCCCTTACAAATGTGATGGTGATTTTACATGGCACTCCACAGGCCTAGGCGTGTGGGGGGGAGGGTGGGGGAGGGCGTGGGGGGGGCGGGCGTGTGGGGGGAGGGCGTGGGGGAGGGCGTGTGGGGGAGGGCGTGTGGGGAGGGCGTGTGTGTGGGGGAGGGCGTGTGGGGGAGGGCGGTGGGGGAGGGCGTGGGGAGGGCGTGTGGGGGAGGGCGTGTGGGGGGAGGGCGTGTGGGGAGGGCGTGTGGGGGGCGTGTGGGGAGGGTGTGGGGAGGGCGTGTGGGGGGAGGGCGTGTGGGGGGGAGGGCGTGTGGGGGAGTGGCGGTGGGGAGGGCGTGTGGGGGAGGGCGTGGGGAGGGCGTGTGGGGAGGCGTGTGGGGAGGGCGTGGGGAGGGCGTGTGGGGGGGAGGGCGGTGGGGGAGGGCGTGGGGGGGGAGGGCGGGGGGGAGGGCGTGTGGGGGAGGCGTGTGGGGGGGGCGTGGGGAGGGCGTGGGGAGGGCGTGTGGGGAGGGCGTGTGGGGAGGGCGTGTGGGGGGAGGCTGTGGGGGGAGGGCGTGGGGAGGGCGTGGTGGGGGGGGCGTGTGGGGAGGGCGTGGGGGGGGGGCGTGGGGGGGCGTGGGGGGCGTGTGGGGGGGGGGGAGGGCGTGTGGGGAGGGCGTGTGGGGGGTGGGGGCGTGTGGGGGGTGGGCGTGGGGGGGCGTGGGGGAGGGCGTGTGGGGGGAGGGGTGGGGTGTAGTCTACAATGGTTATGTCTGAGGGTTTCCCTATACACCCACACACACTATGAACGTCTCCGTACACACACACACACTATGAACGTTTCCTGTACACACACACACACACACACTATGAGTTCCTTACACACACACACACTATGAACGTCTCCTGTACACACACACACAATGAATCTCTGTACACACACACTATGAATGTTCCTGTACACACACACACACACTATGAACGTCTCCTATACACACACACACTATGAACGTTGTGGTTTGTACACACACACTATGAACGTCTCCTGCACACACACACACTATGAACGTCTCCTGTACACACACACACATACGGCGAACGTCTCCTGTACACACATACACTATGAACGTCTCCTGTACACACACACACTCATGAACATCTCCTGTACACACACACACACTA